CGAATCATATTTTTGTTTTTAATTTTAATAACTAGAAATTGCTTACCACTTTTAATGGTTTTATTTCTTAAAATTCTAACCGGTTGACATGAGTAAAGGTCAAATAAAAGAATGCAGGTAAAATTGTTCCCAGTTCAATACAGTGTTTGTAAAATTATATAGATAAAATAAAATGTAATTAAAACAGGGTGTCCATTTACAATTTAAAGTAAATTACAGAACGTTTAATTAAAAAGGTTCTTACCAACAGACCCAGTCCCGAAGTGGCCATTTTTGACCGCTGTTGTAAGGTCACTTGAACGCTTCCCATGATGGTTGTTTTGTCAAATCGTACTTTTATGCATTTTAAATGATATGTCGTTTTCTGGATCAGATAAAGTATCTTCATATTTTCTTCAAACAAACTTTTATTTGTAACAGTTTTGATGCTTTCAAATTATATGGCATAAATAATTGTAGTATTTTCCACTCTAATATACCCGAATAATTTAGAAAACGATTTACTGAATGAAGCGCAAATTTGACACTGAATAAATTCAAAGTCAAGGGAAAAGAAAGCATACATTGTAAAGTTGAGACTTAATTAGAGAAGGAAAATGCCATCCTATGAGATGTCTATCATTACAAAAGCACTTGCTAAGGTATTTATGTATTCCTGTGTCACCTGGAAATGCCGTGAAGAAATAAAAAAAAAATCAGTAGACAGTATTGACCATACTGACAGTGTAGTTGCCAGTGTTCAGCTGGTTATCAGGGCCATGACTGAGTTCTGTTCTATTTCGGAATACACTTTACTGTACATGTCCTGTTATCAAACTAGATTTTTCATGGCTGCATTTGATTAACAAACTTAATAAAAGACCGATTCTCACAAGGCATGACAGCAATGAAATCATGCTTTTAAATCATTGTGCAATTAATCATGTTAATGAAATGTATAGCTCTTATGTTTGTGTTTTCAAGGGAAAGTGGATATCAAGTCAACTTATAATCTGACCGACTTGTTACTAAGTCTACTATACCCCATAGGACAACTTGTTACCTTAGATGCAGAACTGTAGCTCTCCGAAAAAATATATATTGATAGACCAGAGAGCTACAGTGCCACCCATTGAAAAAACTGTATATTTATTGCGCACAAAAAAGTGCACTGTTTTTCGATTTATTTCTGCATGTTTTTAAAACTTTCATTTCAAAATATTGCTAACCCTGTGTTCCTAACATATTCTTTCACTGTTTCCACAACAAAACATTCCTTATAATTGATTTTAATAGCCCTCCTGGTCCTGAAATTGAGATCATCGAAAATTTCGCCTATTTATACTGCCATTTTGGTTTGCAAGATAATTCGGTCCAACGCGCTTCGTACAAATGTAAACTACAAAAGTAATTGATAGAGGAGCAAGGACTTTATTGAAATCTAGCTTTATTTGCAATTGAGGTAAGAATTTGAATAAATTAATCCAGAAACAGCGCACTTTTTGTGCGCAATAAATATACAGTTTTTTCAATGGGTGTCACTGTAGCTCTCCGGTCTATCAATATATATTTTTTCGGGGAGCTACAGTTCTGCAGCTACTTGTTACCTAATCTTTGCGAGTTTTGTTGAGTTTAGAAATTTTTAACTGACATTACTAAGGAATCTCGGACTAGTAACAAACAATGCAATTCAGGAAATCTTGCCCAGACTTTGACCAATTGTTTTGATCAAAATGGGTTGAATTGAAAGTCCTGCCCAATTAAACTTTTTTGTTTTGGACATCCTTTTCACTTCCTATCACTTAAAACTCATTCCTTACCTTTAAAGGTTTAAATCCAACCAAAAATTAAATTGTTTAATTAAATTATATGGATGGGTATCACCAAAAATTTCGTATCGCAATATATCACGATTTTTTCCCACAATATCACGATAATATCATGATATTTTTTAAAGCAGTTTTTACAATGATTTTATATGAAAAGTCATTATTTTTCTAAAAAATATGCTAGAAAAACAAAATTTTACATTCTTGAAATTTTTATGTATATAAAATCAATTATGTTTGGACGGTAAGATGCCGTTCTTTTCACTTTTAACATCATTTTTTTATACTTTCAGTAATTTTAATTTGAAAGATTGAACAAATAAATGAATAATTTCTGGTCTTTATAGTATGTACCTAAAGACCAGTATTAAGGTCTCCATATCACGATACGTATCATGCAACAAAAAATCGGGATATACCGGTATACCGACAAAATCGCACATCCCTATGAAATTAGTGTTAACTTTGTAAATTCAAATTCTCAATTACACTATCATTTTTACAAGTTTGATTCAGTGTTTTTTGATGTGTTGTTTTAATTAAAGCTTGACATCGAAGTGAAAGTAATTAAATTGTTATTATAGACAGAAACAGTGCAGGTGCTGAAGCGTGTGTGTCAAACAGTGTGGAATGGTGAAGGGGTCATAAAGAGTGTAGAACATTTAGGACTGAGGGACACACCTTACATAATGTCCAGCCCTGATGGCCAGAAGTGGACAAAAGCAAGGTAGACCATTCACAGTATTCATCTTGTACACTCTGACATATTAAAAAGGAATAGACTAAATCTTTCTTGTCTGTTTCAAGAAATTTAGTATACATTGATAATTTTAAACTATGCACAGATGCAACAATGGTATTCAGGGTTGCAAATTTTTACATCAAGAGGAACTTTATAGGCTCCAAAGAATATGATGTTATAAATTTGTGGCATTCAGATGGGTTCAACCACCAGTGACTAAATAGCTCAGTCAGTAGAGTTCGGGTTAGAATTCTGATCTTCATGGTCCATGGCATTTTTCTTCTTATTGTAAAGTTTAATGACTTTAATCACTTTAAGTACACATGGTTTTATTTTTTAAAGCATTTGGATAACACCTTTGGAAGGAGTTCAAATAAAAATATTTTACTGCACTCTCTTCTGTTTCAGGTATATGTTAATGGATGTGGATATGTCTATTCCAAACTCCAGGACAGTATTGTCAGATGTGAGAAAAGACTTTGACGTGATTCGTTCAAACATTGTCAGAAAAGACCTTCAATTTATAAGGCCTTGTGCCTCAGGAAAACAATGTGAATTCGGTGAGATGTTCATTGATGAAACAAAGAGGAAAAACTGGAGAAGAAACAAACTAAAGAAAACTTATATGCGTACACAATACAGAGAAAAATAAATAGTGACAAAATTTCTGTCTGTGTTTAATTTATGCTTTGAACTGTACTTTATTAATGCCTCAAACCAGGTGACAGACATGAGGCCCACATGAAGCCCTGGGCCACAATTTTTAACTAATTCAAATGTATATGTACAGTTAAATAACACAGGCACCTGACATTACTAATTTTTCTTAAATAAACAAAATAACCCCATACCTAATAATACACAAAGTTTGAATTTTAAGCCCCTATTTTCAATGTCTATATTATGTCAATCTTTGCAATGACAAGTGGAGGGGCTAATCTCTCTTTAAGTGCCTCCGCCCTTGGTTTTTGATATGATTTTTTTTCTCAGTTTTATATGGCAGAGTAAAATTGACTTACTATAGCCCTCCCATCTTCATGGTCAATGGATAAAACAAATTCAAAATTGTAGTATATTTTGAATATAACAATTTGCGGACGTTTAAAATTTGACTACAGTCAAGACCTTCGAAACTAGAAGTGCACTGGGTGAAATCGCTTTCCCTAGCGAATATCTTTCTATTGTAACCCGAAAAAGTCATCTGGATAATGGAATCCCGCTGCTGCATATTTTGTACGTAAGAATTTACTTCATGAAAGGACTAGGAACTACAGGCATAAGTAGGAATTCTGGATGTAAAGAACATAGGCAAGTTTTTTTTTTACTTAACAAAATCTCAAAAGCATAATTTCCCAGACGGGGAATCGAACCCCGGCCGCCGCGGTGAGAGCGCGGAATCCTAACCTAGACTACCTGGGAAGTCACACTCGGAGTTCCTCGGATGACTTGTACCTCGCACATAACGTTTGAATGGAGCGTAGCGGAGTCAGCCGAGGATTGCCGATTGGGGAAGTCATATGTAACCGACACTATGGACCAGAAATTATTTTTAAAGAAAAATAAAATGGAACCCATTTATATATACAATAATTCTGACTGTGAGGAGGGGTTACCCTCTCCCTCACTCGAAAAAGAGCACCACGAGGCACGTTTCTAGAAACCTTGCACAGACGTACTTTTTTTTTTTTTTAAGAAATTTCTAAAGCAAAAAAAAAAATTTTCCCAGACGGGGAATCGAACCCCGGCCGCCGCGGTGAGAGCGCGGAATCCTAACCACTAGACTACCTGGGAAGTTATGAGATATGAGTCGAGTTTCGAAAGTCTCAAAGAGATCTACACCTGGAACGGCGCCAGTTAATCTGCTTATCAGCCAATCAACATGCAGATCAATGACGCACGGTATCTGCGGCATACCCACATGACGTAAAAGGTAGCTCTCCAAGAAAAAAAATGTATTTTCTCTATTGCCGGTATAAAATCAAAGATCAAAAATATTTGATCAAATTCACTTAGTTTTAATTTTAATTTCCTTAAAACTTCTGCGTTTGGTAATTAACTATTCCTATTCTTTTCTCTATCTCTTAGTTTACTTTTATTGCAAAATAATATTATTTTAAGCTGAATTTACCAAATCAAATTATAATTTTTACAATACATTGTACTCATATTTCTTCATTATGCTGAAAGGTTCGAAAACAACACCATCAATAATATTTAATCACTAAATATTTTAAAAACACAGCTCAGAAAAGATTATTACAAACGAAATTAGTTAAAATCCCCGTCTATTAGTTTTAATTTTTTGAAGTGCATAAAATGTAAAGAAATTTATTGAAATATTGTTTAAAAACCAGATAAATATAACAACGTATGCATATTCTTAAGATTAATTTAATGAAATTTTACATCTTCATTCAGAAAATGATATGTGATACTTGACCAAAAAAAAAAAAAAAAAAAAACACAACATAATGCCCTCAAAAATATTTTAAATTCTTTCCAACATCACTTAAGGACGTAGACTTGGTCCCCCACGTGAATCTCCCCTCCTGACTCCACGGCGGCATATACACCAAAACTGGTGGGGACCCCGCCCACTTCCTCTTTATATCTAAAAGAAAAATTATAGAATTGCAATGTTTAAAACAAAGGTAGGGGTATTATGAATAGAATAAGGACATCAGAATATAATCACACTTATTAGCGGAGTTTTTGATGTCTTACGTTTTAAGAGTTTTCAGTGGCTCGTTTCTCTGGCTTCTCTCTGCAGTAACTGGGTCTATGGTTGTTACCATACATCTAAAGCGAGAAATGATTGGTAAAAATTTCAATCGCAAAAAAATATGGACGTCTCTGAGTCTGTCAGCTAGGAATACAGTATTGGAGCTCACGTTTCTAAAATGAGAACCTAAGAGAGCCAGGGTCCTATATACATGTACTAGTTAGTAACTATATATATGTTCGTCTATGCTAGAACCAATTATCTTACCTCTTACAAGGTTCCTGACAGCGAAAAATAGTGTCCTCTCCAATGCGTATCTGAGACCACGTGTCCTGTAAATTTGGTAAAAAAAAAATGTATTAAAAAATATCCCACAGAGCTTGAGGATGATTGTATAAATTAATGCAGAACATCAGTTTTTCACCTCCTCAAAGGGCCTCAGACCATCAATAACGATATTAGGTCTGAAGTTGTCCATCTTGACTGGCTCCGTGGTCCGCCTGGAGATTTCTTCTAAGGTCCTTTCGTTCCCCAGTAAATAGGAGGAGACACATGAAAACGATATCTATATCAAGAATTAAAGGTACTTAAAGAAACAAGTAAAAGAGAAAATCAAAGAAACTATATTACCTTTCTCTTGATTGGTTTCCTAATTGTTGGACACAGTCGATCAAGGCAAGATTTAAAATGTTTGTGCATAAACAATATGTATACTGTAAAAGCAGAAATATTCGTGAGGGGATTAAATTTCGTTTATTTCATTGTTAACAATTATAAACGAAATTAAATTCCACACGAAATTTTATATGACTATATATTGAATACCTAGGGTTACTCTCAAAACAAAGAAATTAAATGCCCATGTACTTTGAACTCAAATTGCAACTACTGTACCATGCCAACATACTTTATCCTCTTGTGAGATTTGGATGTTTCCCTGTCGACGATTGTTCTCCGTTTCTATGGTTAATCTGTTGTTATTTTCCAGGAAATACACGAGTCTCAGATTGTCGTTGCCGAGGTATTTGCCGATCCATGCACTAGCTTTGTCACCAAAGTCTCGAACCAAAAGCTTACACGCGTGTATCCTAAAATACACATATTGTTGAAAGTTTCATTTTTAAATTGTACGAAAATAAGAGACAGACATGTTTCTTTTCCCTTTTATTCGTCAAGACATTTTAAAATATTTAAACACAGCATGCACTATATTTTGTAAACTATTATTATACTTTTTTTAAGCATAAGAAATATAAAAAAGTAATTTCATGTACTAAGTATCCGATGAACGTTTCCTTCCTTTTTTTAGAATTGCATAAATGAAATGTTGCCATGAAGTAAACAAATTTTTCATTCAAATTCAGTTAATCTTTTTTTAAGAATATATTGGGGATATAAAGTGGCATTTACTCGCAGAGGAACTTTGTACAGTTTCTGTCTGGGCTGTGCGGTAGAATCAGAGATTCCATTCCAGGGGCATCCAAGACAACCGACTCTCCCTCCACTGTAATATTTATAAAGGTCATCTTTGGAAAGTGTCTCATATACTGTCCAATGCCTGTCTGTCGATCTACAACCATAATGCACCTAGGAAATATGTACAATATTTAATGCATTGGAATTCATTTTTTACTTATTTAGAATGTATTTTGTCTGAACAGAATGTACAATGTGTTTAAAAAGAACTTAATTGTCACTTGGAACATGATGTCGCGTGTTTTCGTATCCATATTACATGTAAACATTGAACTATGTACTAATATGTATCCTTGAACTGTTGAAGCTTTAACAATGACTAAAGAAAATACAGTAATTTTACCCATACCTATCATAAAACAGATAAATAGCTGGTCGTGGAATGAAATTATCTCCCCTTGAAGACAATATTGTATACATATAAATACCTGTCCATTACCCCGCCAACTTCCAGCCCTCGTGGTCCACACTTCGCCTTCTTTACACGTGTAGCGTGACATCCTTTTACTGGGTACAGATTTAAACAGGACACGGTGCCAAAATACTGGAAACGCTGCTCGATTTTTCGTCTGATCCAGGATGCTGCCAAATATTTCCAGGAACCGACCGCCACGAGAGCTAAGAATGTCTCCATATTTACAATGGTATATCGTGTTTATATGGATGTAGGTCAAACCAACCGACAGGAATGATAAGCATCAGGCAGGTTTTGTGTACGGAAACACTTTTAAATTTCAGAGCTTTATTCAGTCAGTATGTATTTACAGATAAACGATCTTAATATTCATTCTCTCACAATTCATATTTCCGGTGTCGTTCGCAATGAGCTGGACATAATCCATATTACTTATTTTTGAATGTCTCTAATTTATGTGGCATGTAAATTTACTCTTTAAACTCTAAAGTAACAACAATAATGTTAATATTGCTGTTTTGTAACATTTACTTATTTTTGTATGTGTGACAGGTGACACGTAACATTTGTTGTAAAATCACAAGATTTTACCAAAATCAGCACATTAAAAAATTACGAATATTCAACTTTATACACAACCATTCCCCACGATAAATTGAAGTCCATGCTTTTTAATATAATTTACAGCTTTTTCAATAAAAAAAAAACTAGAAAATTTACTCACTTTGTCAATGGTCATTTGCAAAACTGTTTTTTTTTTTATTCTGATTGTAGACTTGTACACACAAGTACTCTGAAAATGACATCAAAAAGATGCTTGAGTTTCTGATTGACAACATCTATGTGGTTTTTGGAGACCAGATCTTTCAACAATCCATTGGAATTCCCATGGCAACCAATTGCGCCCCGTTATTAGCGGACCTATTTTTGTATTCTTATGAAGCAGAAATTGTCCAAAATCTTATACGCGAAAAGAAGAAAACACTTGCTGTAACCTTTAACTCGATATTTAGATATATCGACGACGTATTATCAATACGCAAGTTTCGAGATTATCTCCCTTGGTGCGCTCTTTCGTTGAGGAGGGGAGTTTCGTTACCGCATAAACAAACAGGTGGGACAGATATTTCATACTGTGTATGTTGGAAACATTGCTTTTGTAAATGTAATTGGAAAGACAATCAACTGATTATTGTATACGTGATGTTGTTCTATCATCGATATACCGGTTTATCATTACTACACGATTGTCAGGATGCACTCTGCAACTTGAGAATAACCGAATTAAAGTAAATGCATTATTTTTAAATCAAAAATATCGAAACAAAAAAGAAAATATCAGTGGATGCTAGACTTTTCCGACGAGGGAAGAGATATGGACCTCTAATAAATACGATCACATGCATCTGGTCATTGCACGTCGGGAATCAAAATTACATATTGATTCTATTCCTTGTTTTAACTTAAAACACTTACTTTTAAGAAAATGTTCGTACAATCAAGAAAATCTATTACTTTTTATAAAGACTATCATAATGACGTTTATTTCGTTTTCAAGTACCGAAAATTTATAGTAGATTTGTAAATATGCATAGTTGAGCTTGATAAAATCATCAAATGCATCACTGCTTAACATTATTATCTTTCTATAACATTTAAAAAATTTTAAAAGCCATAATTATCGTTCTTTTATTCATGCACTTTTGTATATAGAGACAACCTGTCCCACCTCCATGCCGAAATGGGTACTTTTTGCGCCTCTTTCGTAGGAGAGTTACAATCTCGAAACTGGCGTATTAACAATGGTTTCCATTCTTATGTCGATACGATATATCCCAGTGAGCTTGAGATAAAAGATCCCACAGATTCTAATACATTTTTCATGTTTGGATATTTTACGAGTAATTAAAAAAGACGTAAATGGTAATCTAACAACCAAGCTTTATGATAAACGTAATGCCTTTAACTTTTATCGTCAAATTCCCTTACTTATGCAACAATATACATTCATCACCTGAATACGGAGGTTATATATCTCAGTTGATTCGAGAGCATGCTATATGTACAATTTCTAATTTCTACAAACAAGTCGATGAAACAAGAATATATCATTAAGTCTTGTTCAAAGTCATCATTTCGTAAGTTCTATGGTCGATACAATAGCCTTGTCTGCAAATACAATTTATTATTGAGTCAAATGCTGACTAACGTTTTTCATACTAATTTCTTGTCCATTATTTACACAATGAATTGACGACGGATGTTTCCATTATGTCCCGATCACTACAAGGAGCACACAGCGGGTTTGCCCGGTCGACAAGGGATGCTCACTCCTCTATAGCACCTGATCCCACCTCTGATGCTTCAGAGGTCCGTGTTTGATCTGCTCCTATTTTGTATTGTTTAAAGACTTTTGAGTTTGAATACTGTTCGTTGTCTCTATATATTTTATCAGTCTTACTGGTTGCCTCCCTTTTAATGATTCGTCATGTTACATGTTTGTATTAATCATTAATAAACTATGAGGTCGTATATTTGCAAAGTCAGCAATTTCAATAATCTCAAAATACTATTTGAAGTGTTAATTTATGATTTTAAAAAAAATATTGGATACGAGGATTATTTAATAAATAAAGCAAAAACGCCATCTTACAGTAAAAAGTACTTAATACATATTCTTAATATTTTTAATCCTTCAAAGCATTCTTCGTTACCCTTTACATGTTATATGTCTTGTCTTAGTACTCATGTCCAGAAAAACGTAGCGTACTCACCCTTAGGGATACCCTCATAGACACTAATGAAAATTACCTCTTATAATTTACTCAGTACTCTGATATTGTACAATCTTCCTTTGATTGTTTTATGCCTTCTTGGAATGGACATATTCAATAAAGGTTAAGATCTAACGAATCTGAGAAATGACAAAGCTTTGAAAACTTTCTTTTCTTCAAAATACCAGTCGTTTCTCTATCAGATCAGGAAAGGAAAATTACCCTAGGACCGGTATTTGGACTTTTTGTCAGGAAATCTGTTTACCTTTCCCTAGTATGATTTTAATATAAAAGAAACCATTGATAGTGCTTCATTTGGGTGTATGTATATGTTTTACTGGACCTCTTGGAAAAAATAAAAACTTTTAAAACATGCTTTAAACTCTTGCATCTCTTTCCAATAATAAAACCAAAGCTTTTTAATTTGATGCCACATTTTATAACTGATCTTCTTTTTCGCCCATAAAAATGTTCCCATCTTTTGTCATAAATCACACAAGTTTATTATATCTTCTATTTGATAAATATTTGATTTGTTAAAAATAAACTTGCACATTTCCGCGTGTTTTGTCTTCTATTTGAAAGGAAATAGAGCACCTATTTGATTGAACTATGATATTCATTTTCTTTGACAAATTCTATAAAACGTTGTGATGATGAAATGTTAAGTGTCTTAGCAATGTCTTTTTTAAATCTGGCTTTTTCAGATATTATGTGACACACAACCTTGATATATTTTGGTGTACCTGAAGATTTCAGTCGACTAGTTTGTAATGTTTTATAAAAAGAAGAAATGAGTTTAAATATAAATTGACCTATTCCCTTTCTTGACTTTTGAATTTCTGAATCAACCTGAAATCTATACACTATTAAAGACTATTTTTTCTACATATAAAATTCATATCTTTAATATGAGTTCTTCGGCGAATTATGTAGAGATGAAGGGTTTTTACATACGATTCCATTTTCATCTTCTTGGCAGAGATGATTTTTAAACAGTTTTCAGTTCAGTTTATTGACCATGCATGCTTCCTTTGAAATTGAATTTCTTCAGGGGATGATCGGAAAAATAACGTGGTTTTCTTTTATATATAAGGATCTCTTTAAAAGAAGTATTTAACAGTACAAAAAAAATAAAATTCAATATTTTAAATAATATTCTGTATGTTGCAATATTTACTGAGTATTGAACGGCCCTCATGATCAAAACTATCTTAAAGAGACATGGACAAAGTTTTAACTGAATTTTTTGAACCAATTTTAATACATTCAATTCTTAACTGAGGCATCATCTAATGATCAGAAAATATTTGAACATCATTTTTTTAAATTAACAAATGAGATACAGAACTTAACGTTCTTCATAATGTAAACAAGGCTTGTGCCCTGTTTATCTTTACGGATAGAAATTATATTTATCAGAAAATGAAATTCAGCAGATCACTAGAAAGTGTCTAATCGTATTCAGAATTAACGTCTTTATTGAAATTATCTGCTCTGGGCATACTAGTTCATAATTACATATATACATTATAGTTAACTATAACAATATTTAATTATAATAGCTTGTTTACCTTGGTATCAAAGTTTTTACCATAGTAAATCAAGTTTTTAATTTAATTATCCGCATCTCCTCTCATATCAATGAAATTTAATGAAACTTTCACAGAATCTTTGTTACGTAGTGTCATTATGACCTATTAACTTTTTGATCCAAAACATATATTGGGTATCCAATAGTACAACATGGACACTGCCAGTCGTTCTATGATATTGAGGGTACCCATCTAGATCTCTTATCCGCAACTCCTCTTATATCACTGAATAAAATTTAATGGTACTTTCACAGATTCTTCATTACATAATGCCATTATGCACCTCCTGTTTTACTTTTTGACCTGAAACTTATTTTGGGTCTTTCAGAGAAAACATAGACTTTGCTTTTATAATCATATCGGAGACGTATCATTTAGTGGGCTTCTTGCTCATAGTAGTAAAAGAACCTATGATAATGTCCTCATTAAATTAACTAGCATAGCGTGAGTACGCTATGTGCTCTTTCACTTACCGTTCCGTATAAAAAAAATATTCATAAACTTAAGCACGAAAAAAAATCTTAATGTTTTTTTTATTCGAAATTTTAAATATTTTTGAAGACGCTCTTAAGTAAATAATGCAAATATAGTACTGGATTCAAAATTATTTCTGACACAAGAATCAGTAGTCACCATAGGACAAAAATTAAAACCATCATTTGTTTAACATTATTGCGCAGTGACACACTAAAGTGTAAAAATACTCATGCGTAATTGTTTCCTTTCAAATGGAAACATACCAATTTTTTTTTACTTGAAAAATTGAATATGTCGCAGACTTATGCAATAATGGAGTAAACAACAATTTTTCAAGTCAACGTTTGCAAAATGTCTAAAAATTTTCCAAATA